GGAAGGACCGTTCTAAGCGCAAGCCGGCTCAGCAGTTCGCGGGGGGGGAAATCTGCTTGAAATGTAAACAGCCAGCGGTGGCTGTTTACATACAAGCATTCGGGCGTCTATAGAGACGCCCGATCGCTTGTATTTTACGTGCTAGTGTGCGGTCCCTCCTCCCCCTCCGATCCCAGGACCAGCACAGTGGCTCTGTGACAGGAGATCAGAACACTATCTCCCTATGAGCTCCTCTCTGGTGTCAGAATGCAGGAAGTGATGTATATTACATCACTTTCCGCATTCAGCTGTCACTCCCAACTACAGAAGCCAGAGAGAAGCTGGTGAAGCAGATCTCTGCTTCATCAGCTTCTCTGGGGTCCCTAGGTGACATTAGGAGTCTTAAAGACGCCTGATGTTTCCATAAAGAGGACCAGTCACTGTATATTGACTATCATATAGGGGGTTTGTTACCGTGTTTCCCCGAAAATAAGACACTGTCTTATATTTTTTTTTGGCTCAGAAAAACACACTAGGTCTTATTTTCGGGGTAGGTCTTATTTAATTTTTTATTTTTAATGTATAACAATCCAAAGTTAATGCAAATCCAAATTAAATAATCCAAAATGGCAAAGTTAACAATAGGGTGATCAGGGCAATCAGGGGTGCCGTACCTTTCTAAGAGCAATTTGGTAACCAGAAAAAGCAAAGCGCGCTTTCACTATCGATTCCTCACAGGCGGAGTGCATTTGGTATCACTCTGCCTGTGGCAGGAGCCGGCGCTATAGAGGAGGCATCGGCTTATGCGGCTCTGGTCCCTGTGCTGCCGCCTCGCTTCCTCTAGCGCTGCCTTCGTTGGCACCGCTGATTCTCTCCCGCGGCTCTTCAGATTCCCCCTTATGCCACCACCGGCCCTGGCAATGGTCACAACTAGGTCTTATTTTCGGGGTAGGTCTTATTTTCAGGGAAACAGGGTAGTCCCTGTCGCAGTGAGAGCAATCATTCTAGGGCCATCAATCACTGATAACACTAAACTGATGAGCTGTAAAAGCTTTTGAAGAGTTGCCTATGGTAATTTTTTTAATGTGTTTTTTTTTTTTGCGATATCGCGGGCACACGCAATTTTAAGGCTTGCCATGTTTGGTGTCTATTTGCCTGACATGACCCCATCTTTTATATTTTACCAAAAATATTGGGGTGATAATAAATGTTTCCTAATATTTCATAAGGGAACAGGTTTTTCCCGCCCAAAACTTTCGGTACTTTTTTTTGTTATATAGTAAAAAATAAACCCCCCAGTGGTGATTAAATACCACCATAAGAAAGCTCTATGTGTCCCCAAAAAAATGGTATAAAATTAATTTCAGTACAGCGTTGCATGACGGAATAAATATCACTCAAAGTACTGCAACGCTGAATACTGAAAAATGGCCAGGACAGGAAGGGGGTATAAACACCGCAGTCAGCAAGTGGTTAAGCTGCAGTATATTACATTTCTGTTCTTGAGTTTAGACACAATGAGGGGAAGTTATCAAAATCTGAAGCAGCTGTGCATGGCAACCAATCAGCTTCTCTCTTTCCTTTTCAAAGCTTAACTAAACAGGCTAAAGAGAGAAGCTGATTGGTTGCCCTAGGCAACTGCTTCAGATTCGATAAATTCCCCCCACTATGTTTATAATAATACAGTTTATATTGCTTAGATACACTTTATTATAGTCACAAAGCATGGAGGCAACCCCCCAATAAGCCTGCAAAGTACATTATTATAAATGCACACCTGTCTCACTTACCTCATATAATAATGTATGCAGAATGTATACAGATCAAACATTGATACCAGAGTACACCTTACCCGTATTTCATGCTGACGCCACCGCCGGTCCCCGTCACCCATCCCAAATTATAAAACTGTCTGCACAGTTCTGGAATCAAGTGTCGTGGATGTCCTTTCTCCTAAAAGAGATCACAGCAGTCGCGCTCGTTACTTAAACAAAAAAATACAACAATAATCGTTATAACAACAATAATAATACAATTTCCGCTTTAAATGCACTCAGCGATCACAATACCTTAGCGCTGTCAGTCTGATTGCAGTTATCCCCATTGCAGTAGTACATGGCTCCCTGGATTGTGCTTTGCTGGGCTCAGGGGTTGTTTGCTGTCTTTGTATAGTAATATCTAGTTTGTTTATGTCATAGAGAGGCATACAATGTTAATATTGTCCAGTGCTATGATTTCCTGTGCTGTTTGTTGTTTTCCTTGTGTTGTATAGTGTGCAGAGTGAACAGTCAGCTGCTGCAACACTCCTGCAGACAAGGAGGAGCCAACATCCCATCCAGCCCCTCATGGAAGGACTGAGCAGCACAGTGATGACATAGAAAGCAAACAGCTATGGATCCTGTATAAGCAGCGGATAGCCAAGACTTCGTTACAAAATTGTCTCCAGTGTGCAGCCATTTTTGCTACGTCTGCTTCAAAGGATACAGCGGGAATTGGTCTCCAAGAAAATGGCAACTTGCGTTTGCGCCGCCCCCCACCCCCAGGTGCGGAGGCGCTGCAAACCCCAGCAGATGTATTTCAACTCCTGGAGTTTGTAGATTAAAAGCCTATTCATTCCACGAATGCTGTGCAACAGTTTTAATCTATGTTATTTTATCTTGTTCAGAACACATACAGAAGCAAGCTTTATAAATTGTCTTCATTGCAGCCGCCATCTTTGCTATGACCTCAGCTTAGAAGCCAATGATGAACAGGTCTCCAGGAAAATGGCAGCAGCTGTCAAATGTAGACAGCTGTTCAAACTACAAGCCCCAGCAGGTTCTAGTGATGATACTGGGACTTATAGTGCCTCAAGGGAAGCTAATTTCTTCCTCACTAGGCTGAAAAGACGATATTTTGAACTGTATTTTTACAGTTTTCCTCCAGTAATAAATATTTTAATGCCATTTTTGGTGTTTTATTATCTTTATAACGTTATCACAGTGCGATGACACTATTATCAGCCCACACGGTTCCAGGCAGCCCTTGCTAATGTGTTAAATCTGTTCAGGCAGTAGGCGGGGCAGCTCCTGTCAGGGTCCTGCGGGCGGTGCAGGAAGATGGCGGCCTCCTTGAGACTAGGCTGCCGAGGGATCGTCAGGTCATTGGTGGGAGCCGTGCGAAGCCGGGCTGGGGAGGGCGGCTTGAGGCTTCTACACACCGCTGAGAGGCGATGGGGTGAGAGAGAGGCGCCTATCACAATGCCATTGTCAAGTCTTGTATTGTATACTCTGGGCGAGCTGGAGCTGTACATGTCTAATGTGGGACTACGAGTCCCAGCGTGGCCAAAATACCTCCAGACTGTGTGTGCAGCTCTGCTGGGGAGTCACATGTTGCTTATAGACCAAACTGCGTGCATTGTGTCTGTGGACATTCAGCCAGGGGCAGTCACTGTGTGTGCAATGATCGACATGTGTATTGCAGGAGTGCGTGTGCGTGTGTGTGTAGAGAGAGACATGCATGCATCCAAGAATGGATAAACCCCTTGCCACTTAACAATATTTTTCTCTCTATTTCATTAAGGACATTTCACTTCCTGTCCCAGAGACAACACAGGAAGTTAGAGGAAATCTCCCAAAGTGTGAGGAATTCTCTTAAACAGTTGTCCCCATTGGAAGATCCCCCCTGTATTCCTGTTCTGGGGACAACGCTAACATTTTGGATTACCGTTCACTTTTTTCCCTGGTATCGAAGCATTAGGGCGAGTACGAGTACTCGCCCAAATACTCGGTATTGTCACCGATACTAGTTTTGCTATTGGTGCATCCCTACTTTTAACCATTGTTGAGGGTTGGTGGGCACAGTAAGTGACAGTAGAAGTAGGTTTCTTATTGGAGTGTCCCAGTATTTGGAGAAAGTACAGCTCTCTGCAGGAAATATAAGCAGACATGGAACTATGATTGCCTCCTCTACACAGTAAGTACTTCTAAAGCCCCAGATTTACTTGAATGGTTGAAGGGATCCTACACCAAAAAATGTGGATAGTAAGTATTGCATTGTATAACAGGAACTATTCTGTGTAGACGTTGAAGGTGTCTACATGCTATAGACAACCTCAAGATAGATGAAAGTGACCAGTAAGTTCTGTGGCTTTGCTGTGTGCTATAAAGAACCTCAGGAAAGATGGAAAGTGAACATCACACGGTATAGCAGGAACCATCTGTGTAGCTGTTGAAGGTGTTTACATGCTATAGAGCAGTGCTTAAAGTGTGGGTCGCGACCCCATATGGGGTCCCGCAAGTGAACAGGCGGGGTCACGATCTGAATCCCCGGCCAGGACCGACATCAGGGGGTACAGCCAGTACTTGTGTGAGGGGCCCAGGCTGGATCCATTTAATGTTTAATGTGCAGTGTAGTGTAGTTGTTAAGGTCGTAGCCCCCTCCCCCCCCGTGCACTTTGTGCCTTCCTGAGCACGTGCTTGCAGGAAGGTTTGAGAGGAGAGAGACACCGACCAACACTGGGGGAAAAGAGGGAAGAGGCACCGTCCGATGCTGGGGTCACGTAAAGATTTCCTCGGCCAAAAAGGGGTCACGAGTGGAGAAAGTTTAAGAAGGCCTGTTATGGAGAACCTCAAGGTGGAGGAGGGAGCTTCAAGGTGGAGGAGGGAACTTCAAGGTGGAGGAGGGAACCTCAAGGTAGATGAGAGAAAGTGACAAATTCGATTTATGGCTTTGCTGTGTGCTGTAAAGTACCTTCTAATAGATGGAAAGTGAGTATTGCATTTAGGGCTGCAACAACTAATTGATTAAATCGATTATGAGAAATAGTTGGCAACTATTGTCATTATCGGCGAGAGAGAGAGATTTTTTTTTAATGCAACCAATCGACTAGTTGAAAAAATTATCAGGCAACTAATCGATTTATGAAAATAATCGTTAGCTGCAGCCCTAATTGCACTGTATAGTAGAAACCATCTGTTTAGCTGTTGAGGTTCTTTCCAGCAGGTAGACACCTTCAAATTAGATGGAACGTCCACTAATTAGAGCTCTGGCTTTTCTGTGTGCTATAAAGAACTTCACAATAGATGGGACGTGAGAATTGCAGTGTATAGCGAGAACCATCTATGCATCTGTTGGAGGTGTCTTCATGCTATAAAGAACCTCAAGATATATTAAAATGACCAATTAGAAATGTGGCTTTTATAGTAGAAGAGCTACTGTAGCTTGAATCGCTGAAAAAGTTAATGCTGGTTCCAATGGAAAGGTGTCTGAACACACAGCATTGCAGTTTGTTGCATATGGGGTTACATAGCTGCAGGCCGGCCAGGGTGCCCATGCTGACCCGTGTCCAGCACTAAAAGTGAGTACAATGGGCACAGAGAAGTGATAACGGAGCAATGACAGAAGGTGGCCTGGTCCGATGAATCACCTTTTCATTTACATCATGTGGATGGTCGGATCCGTGTGTGTTGCTTATCTGGGGAAGAGATGGCACCAGGATGCACTATGGGAAGAACAAGCCGGCGGAGGCAGTGGGATTCTTGGGCAATGTTCTGCTGGGAAACCTTGTGTCCTGCCATTCATGTGGATGTTACTTTGACACGCACCACTGACCTAAACACTGTTGCTGACCAAGTACACCCCTTCATGGAAACCGTATTCTGATTGCAGTGGCTTCTTTCAGCAGAATAATGCGCTTTGCCACACTGCAAACATGGTTCAAGAATGGTTTGAGGAACACAACGAGTTTGAGGTGATGACTTGGCCTTCAAATTCTCCAGATCTCAATCCAAACGAGCATCTGTGGGATGTGCTGGAAAAACAAGTGCGTTCCATGGAGGCCTCACATCTGACCGGACTTAAAGGATCTGCTACTGACAGCTTGGTGCCAGATACCACAGCATACCTTCAGAGGTCTAGTGGAGTCCATGCCTTGATGGGTTTTAGTGGCAAAAGGGGCACCTACTCAGTATTAGGCGGGTGATCATAGTGTGTGTAATATATATTTCTTTTTTCATTCTGTAAAGCTACATTATGTCTCCAGTAGATGGCAGAATGAGACCACTCACTAAGACTTCTATTCCCTTGTCTGTTATACCTTCTGCTTGCAGGGAACGTAATTTAATGAGGTCAGGCCTCAGTTGGTTGCCGGACTAGGGTAGTGATGGGAGAAAAAATGAAGTGGTGATAACAGTGCATTGTCAGCTTGTCAGACCTTTCGTATGTTTGTATGGCAAGCTTGCAGTTCCCTGGTGTGCTGATTTTTATTAAGCGGCATGAGAACGTCTGCTCTGCAAAACAACTTGAGATTTATGGTCCTTTTTTTTATTGAATACTCCTCAATGGTTTATTTAAAGCTGAGCTCCAAGCACCCCCAAAAAAAGGCCTCATGCTGCATATTGGTGCCCTTACTTGATAATGATAAAAAAATGTAAGGCCAAAAGCAGGTGCCATTACCATTGACTTCCAGATGCAGGTGCCTTTAAGAGAAGGTTCTGAATAGTGGGCTAGCATTGAGGAGCTTCGTCATGGACTACCAATGTGCCAATGCCATCTAGAACTACACACCCTGTATTCATTGGGAGTACAGGAAAAGTCAATAGATGGTATTATGGCTATTGATACATCAGTCATTGAATGGGGTTTCTCAAAGGCTTGGGAATGAAAGTCGTCTACAGGTGAAACTCGAATAATTAGAATATCGTGCAAAGTTCATTTATTTCACTAATGCAACTTAAAAGGTGAAACTAATATATGAGAGAGACTCATTACATGCAAAGCAAGATAATTCAAGCCGTGATTTGTCATAATTGTGATGATTATGGCTTACAGCTCATGAAAACCCCAAGAACCCCAAATCCACAACCTCAAAAAAGTAGATTATTACATGCAATCAATAAAACAAGGATTGTACATAGAACAATATCGGACCTCTGAAAAGTACAAGCATGCATATGTACTCAGTACTTGGTTTGGGCCCCTTTTGCAGCACTTACTGCAATTAACTTTGCACGATATTCTAATTATTCGAGTTTCACCTGTAGGTTCAAGCCCTGGTGATCCGTCTGTCTGGGTTCAAGCCCTGGCGATCCGTCTGTCTGGGTTCAAGCCCTGGCGACCCGTCTGTCTGGGTTCAAGCCCTGGCGACCCGTCTGTCTGTCTGGGTTCAAGCCCTGGCGACCCGTCTGTCTGTCTGGGTTCAAGCCCTGGCGACCCGTCTGTCTGTCTGGGTTCAAGCCCTGGCGACCCGTCTGTCTGTCTGGGTTCAAGCCCTGGCGACCCGTCTGTCTGTCTGGGTTCAAGCCCTGGCGACCCGTCTGTCTGTCTGGGTTCAAGCCCTGGCGACCCGTCTGTCTGTCTGGGTTCAAGCCCTGGCGACCCGTCTGT